CATGTGACTGTTTGTGGCTACCCTGTAGGGATGGCATTTAGCCCCCAGACCTGGCCTGACATCACTTTCACCCCTTGGCTGTGGTCTGCCCTCATTCCTGAGTGCCCTATAACTGCTGGTGACTCTGGGCAAGGACTGCATGGCCAGCCCCAGGCTGCCTGCCTGCCTATTTCAGAAGGCTGGCCCTTGGCCTTGGGCTCGTAGAACACATACTTCCCAGAGCAAAAGTCTCACCTCCTTGACATGGCAGCTTTGGATCAAAGGCTGAGTGGTCTCAATTCACACCCAAAACGCAAACTTGATACCTGGCTATTCACAGGATGATGGTGTGGGCCCTTCGCTGCCTCTGTTGGTGGGTAAAGCCAGGCTCCCATGAGCCTGTCTTTTTCTCCCCTACCACCTACCCCTTTTATCTTGGTAGTGGACCTGCAGATGTTGTTTTGTTTTTATTTTTTCATGCTGGTACATGTAACACAAAGTGTGCTAAATTGGTTCATATTTTGTGCAACCATCACCACCGTCCATCTCCATTTTTTTCACCTTACCAGACTGAAATTCTTTACCCAATAAACAACTCCCAATGAACACTTCACCCCTGTACAACCTGACAACCACCGTTCTTTATCTCTGTGAATTTGACTGTTCTAAGTACCTTGCATAAATGGAATCATACACTGTCTCTTGTGACTGGCTTTCTTCACTTTGCATAAAGTCGTCAGTGTTCATCCATGTTGTGGCCTGTGTCAGAATGTCCTTCCTGAGTAAAATTCCTTCGTGTGTACACAGTCATGCCACAGTGGACCACATAGACAACGACTAACCTCTGTGTGTGGTAGGCTACGCCCTCTAGGTTTATGTTAATACACTCCTAAGACATTTGCACAATGACAAAATCACCTACCGACGCATTTCGCAGAACATACCCCTTTGTTAAACAATGCGTGGCTCTTTCGCGTTTTGCTTTTCCATTTGTCTGTGATGGGTTAGGTTACTTGGGTTACTGCCATGTTTTAGCGATCACCGATAATATTGTTATGAACGTGGTATACAAATATCTCCTTCATACCCTCCTTTCAATTCTTTTGGGTATATACCCAGAAGTGGAATTGCTGGATCGTATTTTTAATTTTTAATCAATTTTTAATTTTTTGAGTAACTGCCAGACAGTTTTCCATAGCAGCTGCCCCATTTTACATTCCCATCAGCAATGCAACAAGGGTTGTAGTTTCTCCATATTCTCGCCAATGCTCATTGTTTTTTCCTTTTTAATAGTAGCCATCCTTAAAGATGTGAGATGGTGTCTTACTGTGGTTTTGATTTGTACTGCCCTAATGATTCATGATATTGAACATCTTTTCATCTGCTTATTGGCCATTTGTTTATCATCTTTGGAGAACTGTCCTTTGCCCAAGTTTGGATTGGGTTTTTTGTTGTTGAGTCTTAGGAGTTCTCTATGTATTCTAGATCTTAATCCATTATCAGATATGTGACTTGTTGATACTTTCATTCTTTTTTTTTTTTTAAGATTTATTTATTTATTTATTTATTTATTTTTTATTTATACATGCACTGGGTACAGTCAGAAGTGCGGGAGGGTGAGAGAATTCGCCAGAGCAGAGAGCAGAGCAGGCAGAAGGACCGAAGTACACTGCTGAGGGGAGCAGCGGGCGGCAGGAGAGGTCTGCGCGCCATGTGGGACCCTCCTCCGGTGGCCGGGGAGCAGCCGGGGGGATCGAACCGGCACCGCAGAGGCTGCGGGCAGCTTCGCAACCCAGTGCTCAACCGCTGCGCCACCGGGGAGGCCCGATACTTTCATTCTTTGCATTGACTTTTTACCCTGCCAACAGTGTCTTTTTATGGACAATATTTTTTGTTTTTCATGATGTTTGTCTCTTTTTTTCTTTTGTTACCTGTTCCTTTGGTGTCATATCCAAGAAATCAATGCCAGATGTGCAGTTTTTGCCTTATGTTTTCTCCTAAGAGTTTTGTAGTTTTAGGTCTTACGTTTAAGTCTTACACCCATTTTAAGTTACTTTGTTAGGTAAAAGGGCCTTATTGTTTTTAAGGAAATCCCATCCTGGCTGGAGAGACCAGAAGGGAGGATGCCATGGAGAGAGGCGGAGGCAGCTGGAGGCACAGGGCGCCCCACTGATGTGGGCGACAGCCATGTGTGAGCTGGCCTGTGAAGAGCAGGCAGAGTTCCAGTGCAGAAGGGAGATGAGAGGCAGCCGACAGGGAATAGCCTGGGGTCACAGAGCAAGCCCTCAGGCACTGCCTGTGCCTAACTCCCCAGGGCCCAAGCCACAAGGGGAGTGTTTGGGCTTGAGAAGGACCTGAGGCAGGTCAATCATGCATCGCCTGGTGAGAAAGAGACCTATGTCCATGCTGCTCAGCTGCAGTTCTACTCACAGGCAGGGTCTGCCCTGCACAGGCTCAGGGAGGTGTAGTGCTGGAGTTTCCAGGTGATCTGCCCAAGCTAAACCATATCCCAGGAGTGGAGTCACTGCAGGTGCCCTGAGGCATGGACACCTAGTGCCTGGGAGCTGCTTTTCTTGGGTGGTATTGAGCCTGCTCTCTGGATTGATCTTTGTCCTTGCTTGTTACTAGCTGAGAGGGAATATGTCACTTACGGTCTAGCTGTACCTCAGATTTTAAAACATAAAATTGAAAAAAAACGTAACGACAAGATGGGGCCTGCACTGCCATAGGAGGCGGGCGGGTGTTGGTGTACCCGTGGGAGTGATGGCGCTGACAGGGTGGCTGCTGGGGTGGAGTGAGACGTCCTGGGCAGCAAACTGAGTTCTTTGGACGCCTTTCCACACCCGAGGGGCTGCTGGATCATCAGCAGGAACCAAGGAGCAGCCCCTGTAGAGCAGAGGGCATTACACATTGAAGTTCATGTCCCAGGGACAGTGAACAACGGAGCCTTGCTAATGCCGTGGTTCATTCTTACCAACTTTTTTTTTAATGACGGAAGTTCATTGAGAGAAATGTAGGAGATACATTAAATGCAAAGAAGAAAAATCATCTGAACTCGTTGTTGCCTGGGGAGTAACCACCCAGCCCCCTGCTGCGTGGTGCGTGCGTGCTTGTGTGAGCATCTGTGTCCTGCCCCGATTTTGTGCACGTTGTCCCGTAACATGTTCTGTGAGTACCCACCCTGTGCCCAGGGCTGGGCATAATTTCCAACCTTGGGGCCATTAATCACTGATCGCTCAGAAGAGACAGTTCAGGGCATTTTCTAGTAGTCCCTCATCCATGGGCTGTGGACTGTGGAGAGGCAGAAGCGAGAAATTTCCTCAACCTCTCCAGACTTCCCTTGGTCTCACATTACCAAGAGCTACAAGCAGAGAACCTGACAAGGGTGGAAGCCATCGGAGGAGGTGGAATGCGTGGGACGAGGTGGTGCTCACAGGCAACAGGGACAGTGAGGTACCGACCGCTGCCAGCAGGCATGTGCTGGGTAGTTGGCTGGGTGCTGGGTGCTCACAACACCTGGGACTTGTGAGGGACAGGGGCTGCGACGTGGAGTAATGAACTCGGGCCACAGAGCTGGGATGAGGCTCATCACCTTGCAAGTCAAGGTGCAGCTGAGGTGGGGAAAGACCTCAGAAGTGCTTGAGGCACCCCAGACTGCAGAAGCAGGGGGCCCCCAGGGAGTGAACAAGGAGAGGTTGGAACCTCAACCCAGGGAGAGAACAGGGCCTGCTTGAGAACGGGACTGCTAGGCTAGTGGGCGCAGAATTCAGCTGGGAGACTGATTGGGTGGGGAGAGCAGAGGTTGAGTTTGAGATGCTGGTCATGCCTCAGAGTAGAGACAAGGCTCATGGCTCTCAGTCCTTACTCACCCAAAGCCCCCAGTGGGTGAATGCTGACCATGGCAGGATGAGACTGTAGGGTGCCACCGTTTAGCCAGGGAAGGAGGTCAGCGGAAGGAAGCGAGAGATGTGTATATGGGCAGAGTGGGGGCAGGTGCTATCCTGGGCTCCCAGTCAGGAGTTCTGGGGCTGTCCCTTGTCAGGAGGGTCCAGCTGCCTGCAGATCTTGGGGACAGCCCTGGGGAGAACATGTAGGGTGTACCCTCCCCCTACTGGTCAACAGGTGGCCTACTGAGGATGGGTTGCTGAGACCCTGCCTGCAGTGTGAGCATAGCTGTTCCTTATTGACTAACAGAGCAGGATGCAGACAATAAGAAGACTCCACCCAGGGCCCCTCTGTGCCGCTGCTGTCTGCATCTCGACGCAATTCCTCCTGCCATGGACGCGGTCAGGCCCCGCCTGCTACCCACACTTGACTGCCCACCCTTCCCCGCTCCTCCCATTGGGCCTGCCCTACCCCAGCCTCCCTCTCCTGCTCCATCTCACTCACCGGGGGCAAGGCCACCCCACCCACCCTGGAGACCAGCTCCAGGCAGCGTCCACCTCCCTCTACTCCCTGCCTGTCTGCTCACTCCCGGATGGCTGGCCTCCTCCTGGAGCACGTCCTTGCCGTGGGAGACAGCAGGGCTGACCCACCAGATGGTGGTGAGAATGGGGGACACCAAGTCACTCCAGCCTAGGACCCCACTGTTAAACAGAAAGGGGCCAAGTACCATCAAGGGGCATGTGTGGGTCCAGCAGTGGCAGGAGAGGGCCCGGGGGCCGGGTGGGGGCATCACAGCAAGGTTGCTGGGTGGAACCCAAAGTAGGTGGACTGAGGAAAATAAGGCCGGCCGGGTCCAGTGGGCTGGAGGGGCTGCGGGTTCCTGGCATCACTCTCCCCCTTTGAAGACCTCCTGGGAGCTAGGGGGCTCACAAACTGACAGGGTTAGGAGGGACGTGGGGCTCGGCTGGGTGTGTTTTGTGGCGGTTCGGGCACTTCACATTGGGGAGATAGTTGATTCATTGTTCCCCAGGCTGTTTCTGAAGAGCCTCAACAGCTCGGCTGTCCACAGTCCTGAGGGCTCCCTTTCCCCCCAGCCTGCGGTGGGAGGAGGCTCACTCTCTTCTCTATATTGGCAGGTAAAGGGTGGATGCCTGAGGCAGGGGGGCCTCGGGGAGCACCCGCAGCACCGGCACCAGCAGCCGGCCCTCCAGCCACGCTTAGCAGCATCGCCACAGCAACCAGCGCCCAGACGGCAGCAGCCTAGGCAGACGCAAGCAGACAGCTTCCCACCGTCGGGAGGACGGGGAATGACCACGGCGAATCAGGCCCCACAGCAGCCCAGGGAGGTGGAGTGTCCCTAGAGGGAGGGCCGGTCACCTCCAGCAGCAGGCGCACGCCATGCCAGCTGGAGCAGAGGCGCTGGGGCAGGGGCTGCATTGGGGCCCGGCCTCGCCTCCCTACCTGCGCTGAGCGCTCCGAGGGCCACCTGGTTTCCTCTGCCAGACACACCTGGACCCGTGTCTCAGCATTCCTGTCCCCTGCTCCAAGTCTGGGCCCGCCGCTGCCGGACCATGGGATGTCGGCAAAGCTCAGAGGAGAAAGAGGCGGCGCGCAGGTCCCGGAGAATTGACCGCCACCTGCGCTCTGAGAGCCAGCGGCAGCGCCGAGAGATCAAGCTGCTCCTTTTGGGCACAAGCAACTCGGGCAAGAGCACCATTGTAAAGCAGATGAAGATCATCCACAGCGGCGGCTTCAACCTAGAGGCCTGCAAGGAGTACAGACCTCTCATCATCTACAACGCCATCGATTCGCTGACCCGCATCATCCGCGCTCTGGCTGCCCTCAAGATCGACTTCCACAACCCTGACCGCGCCTACGACGCCGTGCAGCTCTTCGCGCTGACCGGCCCCGCCGAGAGCAAGGGTGAGATCACACCCGAGCTGCTGGGCGTCATGCGGCGGCTGTGGGCCGACCCCGGGGCACAGACCTGCTTCGGCCGCTCCAGTGAGTATCACCTGGAGGACAACGCCGCCTACTACCTGAATGACCTGGAGCGCATTGCGGCGCCCGATTATATCCCCACCGTGGAGGACATCCTGCGCTCCCGGGACATGACCACGGGCATCGTGGAGAACAAGTTCACCTTCAAGGAGCTCACTTTCAAGATGGTAGATGTGGGTGGGCAGAGGTCAGAGCGCAAAAAGTGGATCCACTGCTTCGAGGGTGTCACGGCCATCATCTTCTGTGTGGAGCTTAGCGGCTATGACCTGAAGCTCTACGAGGACAACCAGACGGTAAGTGGCCCGCCTTTTCCTCTGCTTGTTCCTGCCATGGCTGGCGGCAGGAAGCGCGTGAGCTCACAGAGGCGCCACAGGGTGGGGCAGGGAGAGGCTGCCATTTCCAGCAACTCGGGCAAGGCATTCTCTCCAGTTGGAGCACGGGCACCTCACAACCTCTGGGTAGTGCCTGCTGTTGGTATTCCCGCCCACGAGGGTAGCACTCAGTAGCTTCCCCACTGTGTGAGTCCCCTCCTGACTTCAGTGCCCTGACAGGTTCTTGGGGCCCTGACATCCTCAGTGACCACCACACCCTCTCAGCTACTGTCGCCTTTACCCAGCTCCAGATGGCACTGCCTTCTTGGCACTTGCAGGTCCCTGGTATCCAGGTAGCTCCCACCTCCATGCCATGAGTAGGCCATACCCTATACCTGACTGAACTCAGGTCATGGAGGCCTCAAGAATGTGTTGCTGTGATGCTCAGAGGGTCCCTTGCTTAGTCACTCAGGCATTGGGGAAGACTTGGTAAAGAACAAGGGGAGATGAGGTGCCGCAATTGGCTCTGCAGCAGGTGAGATCAGAGGTGTGGGCAAGTGTGGGGGATAGCACTGGAGGCCAGAAGGAAGCTGGCAGTGCCACAGGAAATGGCAAAGGCTTAGGGCAGACATTCAGCTGGTCCATGTGATAGTTCAGTAAACCCACGAAGCCCTTACCAGTAGTGAGCACTACACTTCATCCTGGGAACTGCAGTCTTGGTCCCCAACCCCATCTGGATTCTGGGAGTCTGGCAGTGACAGGGTTGAGGTACCACTCAGAGGTTTAACTTCCCAGGAGTTGGGTGGGTGTGGATATTCTTTCAGACCTAACCCCCTGGCTGAGAACCACTATGTGGGGAATGGGCCTCAGAGGCACATGGTACGGGAGATGTCAAAGGTTGGTATAGTTCAGGGAGGTGCCAAGGGGCAACTCAGGCCCAATGCTGAGCAGGTGGGGGCTTGAGAAGGTGGCTGCTGGGGTGAGAGGCAGGCCACTCACAAGGAGGGGCTGGGCAACATGCTACAGGCACAACAGAAGCAGAAGGCCCAGTGCAAAGGCACCCAGGAGTGGCAGTGGTGGAAGCTATCAGCCGGACAAAGGATGGGTGTAGCCAGCCAGGGTCACCGCCCCTGGGGCCATTCAGGAAGTAAAGGTTTTTATGTCAGGCAGAAGCACTGAGCACTGGCCTGTAATCTGCCATTAAGATGGGAGCAGGGGCAAGCAGGGGTCAACAGGGAACTGTAAGTAGTATGGGACTGGGGGGTGCTAGGGGCTTGGGGGTACAACAGGCAGGGAGGAACCTAGGAAACCTAGAGAAATGGGTGATGACGCTCATGGGGGGACTCACCACATTGGGGGATGAGGAGCTAGCCTCTGGATTCCAGGGAACTGACACAGTGCCAGAAAGGGGTTGCTTCCTTCACACAGTTTTTTTTGTTTGTTTGTTTGTTTGTTTTTTAAGGCAGGTGGCAGCTTTGTTTTTTGGATTCAGCTGGGAGTTTTTAACTTTGGACCTGCAGCCCCTGAGGAAGTCTGTGAATGATTGCAGGCTGTCCACAGTGCTGGACACTGGGTGTTTTCCTGGGTAGGAAGGTCTGTAGTTTTCATAGGTTGCATGAAGGCAGGGAGCATAGCTCTCCTCCCACCCTCCACGCATCTGGGGTTCTAGAGCTGTGCCTAGGTGGTAATGGTGATTATGCTGCATTCACTAGGGCAGGGGGCCCGCCTTGCTCCTAGTGCTGTCTTAGTGGTCTTTTAGGGATTTTGCCCTTCTTACTCTTCTGTCTAGCCCCTACTTCAGCACTATATGTGGTTCTGGGCAAAGGGGACATCCTAGCAGATGAGCGTTGATAGGACACTGCTGCTTGATAGGACACTGCTGAGGGACTAACCAGACCTGGAGACAAAGCCCTGGAACAGTGCCAGGACAGGTCTACCAGCCGCCTGGGCTCAGGTGTTTGAATCTCAGAGCTTCTTCCTATTTTAGCTGTGTTCTGACATCTGACACTGGTGATAGCTTATGCTCTGAGGCCTTCCGGAGGTCTGAATGTTAGGGCTGCCTCATCTGTCATCTCTAGGGCAGGCATGGCAAATTCCCTTGGCGCCTGGCTGGGCTCTCAGACCATAGGTGTGCCAGGACCCAGGAGGCAGAATGCCTGGGGCCTAAGTTGGTCTTGTGTTTCATGGAAGGATTTGGCTATCGTCTCTGTTCTCTGAAACTGTTGACCAGGAGGTAGCCCAAGCGTCCTCAAAGACAGGCTCAAGCCCAGGCCGCCTGCCCAAGGCCCTCCCAGCTCTGATTGGCATTCCCCACCTCCTTGCTGCCTTTCTCCTCTCTGCTCTGGCCTTTGTTGGCTTGTAACCCCACAAGCTCTGCTCTCTTTAGCCTTAGGCATGTGACCACCCTGTTTCCTTCCCCATTCAGATCTCATCCCAGGTGTCCCCTACTGTAGAGGCCTTCCCTGACCCCAATTTGGTGCCTATATACCCCTGCATTACAGAGTGGGTTCTCACTTATGTACATGCTAGGCTGGGTGGACAGGAAGTCTGCACAGGGCTTGAGTCTCTAGCCTTCTCCAGTCCTGTCCCTGGGATAGGGGTTAGGGGCACAGCAGGCAGCCCTGGGTGGGGACAGCAGCTGCTGGCAGGGTTCTCTGTGAGGCTGCCACTTGCCTCTGAGGGCATTGGGAGCATTTGCTAAAGGGAGTGACTGGCAGACAGGCCTGTATCCCCCCCATCCCCCACCACCCTGGTCTCTGAAGACCTGGGAGGTGGTTATTTGCCAGAAAAGGAAATTCTTGATGAGAAACTCTAGCGTGGCTGGAAATTCACTAGATTCCAAATGGTTCTGACCTTTCCTGCTCTACCAGCAGTATCTTGGATGGAAAACAAATAGGCTGCTGAGGAAAGACAATACCTTCCCGCAGACTCCTCCAACGGGCTGGCCACTGAGGTGAGCTGGCCGCCCAGGGCCACCAGTGAGGAGAGCCTGCCTCTCCCAGCACCTACAGGCAGCCCCTGTCACCCTCCTGTCACCACTGCTCTTCCGCACTGCGCCTGCCAAGTATCTCCATAGGGACTAGAACGGACCCGCCACCTTTGCCTTCTCCTTTTGGAGGGCCCCGAACTCTCTTCCTCCCTGGGCTTTAGCAAAGTCAAGACAGCCAAAAACAGATCATGCTGATTTTTCAGAATCCTAAGGAACATGGAGACCCCATGCCAGGCTCTGGACACGGCCCGTCAGAGGTCTCCCCCCACTCAGCTTCTGAAGCCTGTTTTCCCTCTGACAGAGGGCCGCCAGAGCCCCCTGCCCCCGCGCCTAGTGAAAGAACCACAACCCCCTCCCCCCTGTCATCTGCGTCAGCTTGTTGCCAAGGGTAACGTCAGGATCTCTGGGCTCTTGGGTGTGGAGGACTGCAGTGAGCACAGGGCAGTGCCTAAGAAGAGGCAGGTAGATTCTGGGGTGTCCATGGACCATAGCAATAAGCAGTTAGGAGAGGTCATGCCCAGCCTTGGGAAGAATCCATAGCCCTCATTCCAGATGAGCTGGATGGGTCCTCAACATGCCCTGGACTCCCTCTCCTCATGAAGCACTGGCAGGCCCCCAGGGTCTCTAAGATGAGGGGGCCTCGCCTGTTCCCACAATGGGGTTCTCTTAAATAATGCAGGTCAGAGCAAGGCCCAGGAATGCACACCTGACTGATCCTGTGCTTGTGGTCCCTGTCATGGAGGGGGCACCTGGAGGCACCCAGGCTTCAGACAGGTCACGGATCAAGCCGTGCCCTCAACAGCCATGGCCCTTTCCTATGTCTCCCTGCCACCCCGCTCTCGGCCTGGCCTCTGCAAGCAAGCTACTTCCTTGCTGCCCAGCCTTCCTTTTCCCTTTGTGTTCTTGCAGGGGTAAAGAACGACAAGGGCTTTAAATTTGGGGGTTTGGCCAGGGCCCCCCTTAGGTACAGAGGTGCACTAGCTGGCTGCTCACCCCAGCATGATAACTCCTGAGAGGCCACGTGCCTGAGGATCTGCCGTGGCCTTCTCACCCAGCCAGCCCATTGTAAGGGCTCTTCCCCCTTTTCTAAACATTCCCGCAAGCTGGACCCCAGCACCTGGGAACTTGGGGAGAAGGGGGTGGTGCAAGGGTGGGTGCTTGTCATCCAGCCTCTGCCCCTACAGATTGTTCACGAACTCTGCCACTGCTTAATGGTGAAGGAGTCCTTCCAAAGGGACTGGTTAAAAGACTTGGCTATACAGTGTCAAGGTGCTTTCCCAGGGAACTGGCTGCCCAATTCCTGGTGGAGCCATCAGGGTTCCCAGCCCTGTGGTGCGTGCCTGCTGTGTGCCTGGTGTGGGTGTGCAAGGCTGGCTGAGGTGAGCCCCACTGCCCTGGCAGCACTGGGAGCTGGGGGGGCATGGTACACTTGCACCCAGCATAGTCATAGCATCATTTCCACAAACCCTCGTGCTGCCTGGAGTCACCTGCCCTCCTTAAGCACCTGGCAGGCAGCAGTTCCCAGGTATGTCACCCCTTGCTCTCGTCCAGGACCAACTATGGCTACAGGTAGTCTGGGTCTGTGGGAGACCTGGTGTCCCCATCACTTATCCATCAGGTTGACGTGTGAGAAAGGATCCCTAGAGGCGACACAAGGACATGCCCTTTAGGGGATCGAGTTCTACAGGTGGGAGGCGCTACACACCAGACTCCAGGGCTCTGGGTCACCTCTGCCTGCCCTTGCCATGGCCCCTCCTTCTCTGGGGTCCTCAGGTCCCAGAAGAGCCCCCTGCCCACAGTGAGGGCAGACCCACAGCCCCCTTTGCCCATCCTACTGCACATCTGGGAATGCAGACCCTGACGCAGTTGGTGTTAAGCAGGATTTTATGGACTGGATGGAAGACAGGTTCAGGAAGAGCAGGTGAAAGGGTTTATTCAGCCCTTCCTGGGAAGCCCCTTTGGGTCCCAGGCCCTAACAGGTGTGCACCCCTGA